GCCGCCGCCGCCGCCGCCGCCGAGTTCCTCCTCCGACGATCGGCGTCTGACTTCGCGGTGTTTCTCGATGGTGGTCGGATTGGTTCGCGGCGGGATCCAGCCGAACGATACCTTGCCATCGTACGGCAAGCTGGCGAATTTGCTCGGTGGGCTCTGAGGTTGTTGTCTCAGTTTCAGTGGTTCGCCGTTTCCATTTTCCCATCCGTACGGCCTCTGGTGTCGAGTTTTCGGCTGCGCGAAAATACAATTCACCTGTACGTACGTAATTTACAACGAAGCTACTCCAACGCAATGCCACAGACATTGGTCAGTTTTTTTTACTTATTTATCTATTATTAAGCTCTGTCTGTCTTTAAAGCTCCGTCAACGCTTCACGTTTAACGTTGGCTCAAGTTACTCTAGTTTTAGGAAAATTATCGTAAGAAACGTATTTAAATGATCCGTTGTTTATTAATTCAGTTGTTGTCACTTTTCAGTGAAAGTACGGACTGTACTCTGTGACGTTTACGATCAGGATACGCAAATAAGGGAAAACTTTTGGATGGACTTTTTATTTGATGGTGGATTTATTCGATGGATGGAACAATCGCGGACCAAGATGTTTGCAAGGATACTCACAAGGGTCGTTTGAGTAGTAACTGTACTACCGTTTCCGTGTCGTATACTGTCCTCCATGGCTATCATCCACTGTTGGCGACCGCTCCGACGAGAAGAGGAATGGCCGTTTCTCTTCGAAGAATTTCCAGGTGACACTCTGCCGTCACACGTAAATATATTCGGATTTTTATTATTCTCGCTATTATTGTTACTATCAATGTACAGATACAGATGTTTCTTTTTTCTTTTTTTCTTTCAGAGTCGATAATGTGACAACGTTTCAACACACACTACCAACCAATTGCAAACAGAAGATTTAAAAAATTTAAAGAGTAAAGCAGCTTGGCTTACATAGGCAACAAAGTAGAAATGATTCGTTCGGCTTCTTCGGGCGGTGGTGGGAATTCTTGCGCAGATATTTCCGCGAGATCCTGTGGCTCTGGACAGTCGGGAACTGGGCGCAGTGCTACCACGGCCATTTTTGCTTTTCGTCCATTCATACTCATGTATCCGTCGTCCTCGGATTGATGTCCTGTCGAGATCACTCGTATTCTTATATTGGCCTAATTCTCTCAAAGGTAATAATCAGTGAAACCTTAGTCTACGCAGATTTTGCTTCGACCAATCTTGATCGACAATATATCAAGATTGGTGGGTTGTCGACTTTACGAACTTGCGTATAAGCTAAAGTTCTTCTCCTATTTTATTGTACAGTTTGTTTTATTTCCGTTATTTTGACGTTATTAAGACGAAGCACGGGATTTTGCAAGGGAAAGTGCAGTTATCACTCGCGAAATGTACGTTTGAAAATGTGAGAGTGGGAATTTCGATGCAAACGATCGATCGTATATTCAGGGCAGCTTCGGGCCATCGAAAGTCGCAATCTCTTTTGCATGGAAATCCAACACAGGATTTTTACTTTCTGTTTACTCTTCACTCGAGCAAATATTTTCGAGGAAAATCGCGGCAC